TTTTTTTTTGTCTTTGAGGGGGGGGAGAGAGAGAGTGCATGTGATCAGCACAGGGCCACTCAGGCCCATTTTTTTTACTTTGAAGTTGTAAGTATGCTATCAGATATATAGCCATTGTGTGAAAGACCACTGCTTATCGGATTGTGAGAAGAACTTACCTTTCTGTGACAGTTTTCATGCTGTTAGGACCAATTTGGCAAACTATATTTGCTATAAAATGTTGCCGAGACCTTGATCAGCATATTCTTGGTCCCAAAATAAAAAAAAAAAAAACCTTGAGGATTTGGTCTAGTAAAGAACAAGATTGCTAAAAATTATGGGAGCACGACTTTTCTCCCCTGCTTATAATAGCACATTTTTAGTCCATAGCCACGCACAAAGCAGACAGATGACATAATAGCTATATGTTAGAAAAAAAACTCATAATAAATACAGCATATTTTAAAATACTTTTTATTTTTAGTAAGCAATAGAACAATCAAAGATCACTGACACTGTGTAGAGTACAACATGAAACATACATACAATAGCCATAAGGCATGTCAGATATGTGTGGTGTCAGACAATTGTCCACGTAAAAGCCATAATACATCAACATCAAGGAAGATGGCTCTTGAAGAAGCAACAGTATTCTAAGTCGCTTGTAGGGTGAACAAACTATAAAGCCCCACTTAAAAAGGATTTTTAATATTGCAAAAATGAATAGGGCAAAAAGAATGTGAAAAAAGGGGGGAGGTCCTCCTGACCCGCTGCCCATGAGGGATCTTCCATTAAGAGGTCTCTATAAGTTGCAAAAAACTGAAATTGGAGCCAATAGAACCATGTCTGACAGAAGCACTCTTCCTGGTGGTGCAATGACAAGGTGAAGTCTTCTGGATCTTTTTTACCATATTTAGCCATTGAGTAATAGGTGGGGTCAAGGGTGACTTCCAGGAGGAACTACTTGACTTTGCTTTATTTTGGCGATGGATTGTTAAATATTTTTTGAATTTTCGCTTTGAGGAAGTATTTAAATGCAAAAGGCAAGCTACTGGGTGGTCATTTAAGTTCCAATCATTTAGGTCATGTAGTAGGGTACAAACTCAGGACCAGAAAGGACATCCACACATTTCCAAAATATATGAAATAGGATGCCCTCTATAAATCTGGCATTTTATACATGTACATTTGTATCATTTTCTTATTAACATTTGTGTTGTGAGTTAATCTTTCATTGGTTTTATAGTAACTCTTTCAGGATAGTCACTTGTTTTAAGCTCACACTTTGCAAGTGTGAATTCTGTATGCATTTATATACCATCCAGACAGGTGTTCAGTTTTGTCTGGAAAAAACAATCCTGCATCATAGGGTACACTATATACACAGTGTGCATAACATGTAGAAAACGTTTAAGACGGATGTCCCAATGTCTTAATTTTTCATTCCTATAGCAGGAATTCTGACCATGATGAATGCCTGGACCTGCATCATAGGAAATAGTCAAAGCTACAGCTGCCTATTTGTTGTACTTGTAATCCTTTAAAGCATGTCAGTCCTTTGAAAACACAGATTCGGTATCTAGTGGGTTGTAAATCAGCAGCTGACTGACTCATTTATCTTTATTTTTGCATTTATCTTTTCTTAATTAAACTGTCTCCTCAGGGTAAAAGTGTCCTTGTATATTGGAATTTGTCTTTTTTTTTTCTTTTTGTTTTATAACAGTAAGTTCCGTATTGCAAATTCCCATTCATATACTTGGTATAATCCTTGGTTAGATATTTAGTAAATGAGAATTCAAATAAATATCATGCAAGGTATAGTTAAAAAAATGTATTTTATCGAGCAGTACCAATACATTCATCAAGGAAAATGAGCGATTGAGTCTGAGCCTAACTGTTGACTGTTTTTTGTTTTTGTGTGAAAGAAAATAGAGATAGAAAAGAAGTATAGAAAATACCATCATTAATAAACATTATATTAACAATACCAAACCTATACCTCAAAGCAAATATCTTTCAACAACTACCCGCAGTCTTTCATTCAAAGTCACGCTTACCAGCCCTTCCCCCTTTGGAAGAACAACTTTCAGATTCTGAAGTATATTCTAGCAGCTTTGGCCAAATGCACCGACCTTTATATAATGTTTATAATATATTAAATTATTGTTTTTAAATTGACAACATGTGAAATATTCTGTCGGATTTTGTACTTTCTAATGGTCATATCTTGAAATTTCAACTTCTTGTATTGTTATTGAGAAAATCCTATGCTCCATGGTATCATACATGCACTTGCCCACTTGCTTGGTACTGGCCTAGAGTACTGTACAAAATGGAGAGTGAACTATGCATTTCCCCAAGGAGGGGAGGGGTGGTGGTGAATTTGTGATCTATGAGAAATGTGAAATTCAGGACACTCAAGGGGAGTGCAATGGGAGCCTCCTTTGTCATAGTATATGCCTTATATGTTCGAGGCATGGGTGGCTCTCTAGAATAGATATATAGATTATATACTGGTCGCTTCGAGAGGCACACATTGAATAGAAATTTGTGTAACATCTTTTGTGATTTATAAAATAAATAAAACATAAAATAGATTTTTTTAAATCTTAAAATTAGGAAGATAGGTAGAGAAATCAGCAACAGTGCTGCCTGTAAACCAACAGCTGGAGATATGCTCCTCCATGGGCAATACTCAACATATCATTTGGTAAAAGAAACAATTTTTTATAAATGAAAACGAAACACTTTCTTTATAGGGTCATTTATTAACCACTTGCCCTCTAGAGGATTTACCCCCCTTAATGACCAGGCCTCTTTTTGCTATTTAGCGCTGCACTATTTCAACTAATGATTGCGCAGATTTGCAATCCTGTACCCAGACTTTATTTAAACAAAATTTACATCCTTTTTTTCACACAAATAGAGCTTTCTTTCGGTGGTATTTGATCACCTGTGCGCTTTTATTTTTCCTGCTATAAACAAAAAAAAAAGACCGAAAATCTTGAAGAAAAGTGAGATTTTTTACTTTCGGCTATAAAAAATATATAGTACGCAAAGTTAGTCATAAATTTAGGCCAAAATGTATACTGCTACATGTTTTTGGTAAAAAAAAGTTCCAATAAGTGTACATTGATTGCTTTGTTTGAAAGTTATAGCGTCTACAAACTATGGTATATATACTGCAATTTACGCCACTTTTTGCTATACAGCGCTGCACTAATTTAACTGACAATTGTGCGGTCATGCAATATGGTACATAAATGAAATTTACATCCTTTTTTTCACACACATAGAGCTTTCTTTCAGTTTATTTGATCACTTGTACGTTTTTTATTTTTGGCGCTATAAACAAAAAAAGGTTTGAAAAATGTTTTTTTTAAAAAAGATATTTACTAATTTATGTCATAAAAAATTTCCAAAAAACTTAAATTTTGTCATAAATTTAGGCCAAAATGTATTCTGCTACATGTTTTTGGTTAAAAAAAATCCCAATAAGTGTATATTGATTGCTTTGTGAAAGTTATAGCATCTAAAACTATGGTTAGATAATGCACAGCTTTTACTTTTTGACTGCCCATCACATTTCTTGAGGTGCTAAAATACCAGAACAGTACAAACACCCCAAAATGACCCCTTTTCAGAAAGTAGACACCCTAAGCTATCTGCTGAGAGTCATATTGAGTTCATGGAACTATTTTTTTCTGAAAGTTTTTGGAAAATGACAAACTTTTTTTTTTTTTACACAAAGTTGTCATTTAAATTATATATTTATCACACAAGTCATGGGTATATGTGGAACTACACCCCAAAATACATTCTGCTATTTCTACGTATGGGGATAGCACATGTGTGATACCACATACAGGAGCCTGAAATCCAATGACCATTGAAGGTGAAGGCCTGAAGGTGCGTAACTTCCTCACTACCTATCACAGTTTCAGAGGCCCTGAAATGCCAAGATAGCACCCCCCCCCCCCCCCCTCCAATGAACCCTTTTTTGGAAAATAGACACTCCAAGGAATTTAAAAAGAGGCATGGTGAGTATTTTGCAGATCAAATTTTTTACTCACATGGTTTTGAAATATAAAAAAAGAAAAGAAAAAAATATGTTTTTGTTTATTTTCTTCATTTTCCAAAAACTTGTGGTAACAAACGAGATCTGCAAAATACTCACCATGCTTCTTATCAAATTCCTTGGGGTGTCTACTTTCCAAATAGGGGTAATTTGGGGGGGGGGGGTGGTGCTATCCTGGCATTTCAGGGTCTCCAAAACTGTGATAGGTAGTCAGGAAGTGTAATGAGGAAATAAAGCCCTTTAAAAGCCTGAAGGTGCTTATTGGATTTTGGGGTCCTGTACTTGGCTAGACTGCCAAAAAGTCTCTCATGCGGTACCCACATACTCGGGAGAAGTAGCAGAATGTATTTTGGGGAGTAATTCCACATGTACCCATGCCATGTGTGAGCAATAAATCATTTAAGCGACAATTTTGTGTAAAAAAAAAAGTTTTGTCATTTTCCAAAAACTTGTGTTTAAAAAAAAAAATTCTTCTATTGACTCAACATGCCTTTAAGCAAAAAGTTTGGGGTGTCTACTTTCCAAAAAGGGGACATTTTGGGGGTTGGGGGCTTTTATGCCCAGCATTCAAAGCTTATGCCACACATCATTCACTCTTCTAACCACCTGAAGACCAAGCCTTTTCTAACACTTTTTTGTTCACATGAAAAAAATCTGTATTTTTTGCTAGGAATTACTTTGAACTCCTAAACATTATATATTTTTTTTAAAGCAGGCACCCTAGTGAATAAAATGTTGGATGCTGCAATTTTTTGTCACATAGTACTCACGCATTGAAAAAAAATACACTTTTTTTACTTTTAACCTCCCTGGAGGTATTCCCAAGTGTAGTTCGTGGTAAAGTTTCAGCACCACAAGCGGTAACCCCGAGCTACACTCGGGTATACCTTGCAGCGTTGCTCCGGGATCTCTTCTTCACTTACCTTGTCCTTCGCTCCTGCGATGTCCCTCCTGCAGTGTCCCCAGCAATGTCCTCCGGCCCATGCGGGCATCTGTCTTCTGTGTTCCGTTCCCTGCGACGTCAGGACGTACGGGGACGGAACAGCGGGAAATTTCAAAATGTGAAAAAGTGACGCATTCACTAAATACACTAAAATCACATAATAAAACATTACTGTATCAAAGCATTTCACATACATTTTGTCCCTAGTGCTTTGTCCTGTACCCTGCCTGCATTTTTACCATTCTTTCTACTTGGAAACTGAGAAGTGTCCATGGCGTCCAAAAAGCGTCCTTTTAGGTCAAAAGTGGTTTTAGACCAGCTAAAAAACAGCGATAGTAAATTAGAACCACTTGCAGAATTGAGTGATAATGATATGTGGGGAAATTCGTCATCAGACACTGAAAACGATATTGTGACTTTGCTCAGTGCTGTGCGAACTTGGCGCTATATTTCAAATTTCAGTGTTTTTGGTTTGATTATATTATTGAATTAAATTTATTATTATTATATTATTATTTTTTATGATTATTTATTAAATTATAATTTATGATTTTGGGTTTCAAATTTTAACATACCTGGGATGTTTACTAGACTCTTGTTCGGACAGATTTTAGTGAGTTATTCCTAAAAATTACAGGCCTACAATAAAAAAAATACATATTTCCATGCAAAAAAATGTACCACTTTGAGCACAGAAATACTGACATAATCAGACCGTTAGGGAGGCTACTGCACAAAAACACAATATATTGGCCAATTATTTGGTAAAATACTGTATAAAAGATGATGGTATGATGAGTATATAGTTACATGACATGCTTTAAAACTGCGCATGCCCCGTGCAATGGCGACAAACTGCATACATGTTTAATATCTATAGGCAACGTTTTAAAAGCCTTTACAAGCTACCATTTTAGATTTACAGAGGATTTCTAGGGCTAGAATTACTGCCCTTGATCTGACGTTCGTGGCGATACCTCACATGCATGGCACAACCAGTGTTTACATACCGGCACAGGATCAACGTTCACAGGGAATACAAATATCCTCTATAACTTCAATGGACATTGTCATATATTCTTTTTTGAGAAATCTGGGTATCTCTTCTGCCCTTACATTATCTAATCTCACCAAGATCGGTGTGATCAGATGCTTTCCCAATTTACAAATGGTGCTGTTTATATCCTGCGAAACCGAAGTGATGAAATGCTCGTAGCTTCCGATTTCTTAGACTATAGAGATGATTGGCACCATTCTGGTCTCCAGTCAGCTCTATGGTCAGCTGGCAGAAACACCGGCTGCATTCTCAGGTTCCCCCGATGGCATGAGATTGTCCGAGAAGGCCGTGGAAGGCAGCGGGGGAGGGGGGCATCATCTCCTGCTGTTTGTAAAAGCAATCCTGAAGCTAATTAGCCACTAGGATTGCTTTTACATGAAAGCTGATCACCAGCTGAAAAAAACAATACCAGGATGATGCCTGCAGCTGTAGTAGCCGTATAGCCATTCAAGGTCCAGTGATGTACCAGTGATGTTTTTATTTTTACCAGTAATGGCAGTGATCAGCGACTTATAGCAGGACTGTGGGACTGCAGCAGACATTCTGACATTGGGGGAAACTGACTTGGTGTCACTGACATCCCCAGTGACACCAATACAGTGATCAGTGCTAAAAAATAAAAGCACTGACACTGTACTAATGGCACTGGGCAGGAATGGGTTAACATGAGGGGCAATCAAATGGTTAACTGTGTGATAGGAGTGTTTTACTAGGGGGCGGGGGGGGTGTTCTTCACTGTAAGTACAGCGCTTTGGATGGCTCTGCTCAGCCATCCAGAGCAGTGTGCCCAAACTGACAGGGAGGAAGACTGTTGGTAAACAAAGTAGCCCTCCTCCATGTCGGTAATCACTGGTAATCACCAGGTGCCGGGACCCGGTGATTGGCACCCGCGGCCGCGAACTGCGGGCGCAGGTAGGGCCTACCCAGAAATGCAAAATGACATTTATATACTGTACATGATTTTGCGCACATGGGGCCTCCCTGCAGCAGTATATAGGGCGGTCCTTAAGCGGTTCATTGTGAGACTTCATATGCTGTATGTTTTATGAAATATTGATGTAATTTAATATATGGTGGAAAAAACAAAACAATAGGTGTATTTTCAGTAATATTTGAGAGAGAGAGAGATAAAAAAGGAACATGCAGTATATGGGAATGCCACTAAGGAAAAAAAGGATGTGCTAAGTATAACGAGGATATAAAGGTTACATGATTCTGTTCATAGCACTTCAAAGTGAAAAACTTTTTTTGAGGGTACTAGATCATGTGGAGGGGGGTTATTCGGCTCCTTCATAGTATGTCTCTACAGCAACAGATTACTTGTGATATTGCCCAGTAACAGTTACCAGCAGCCAATGGATCACTGTGCAGAACTGATGTGCAGAGTCCCTCAACAGTAGGCCAACAATCTGTCTCTGGAGAACAGCAGTACCCCTGTGTTTAGCTCTGAATCCTGTACCAAGAGAGAGAGCCAGTCCCTTGCTGTAGAATATACAGTATCTGTTTTTCCAGCATCCTTCTTCTTTGTTAGCTATCTAATAGTTGTGGTTCAATCAGCACTCAGGAATACAGGATGTATTGGGCTATGGGTCTACAGGTTCCAAGATGCTCTGCTGTCAGAGAAACTGAATCCACTCTGCTAACGGGAAGTGATGTAGAGGTCCCAGTACTGGGCACTAGGGGGAAAAAGGATTAGTCATAGTCTCATCTGTAAATGTCCCTGAATGGCATAATGATATAGCCGACACCTGGCTACATCTGTGATATATGGATAGAGGAATGACTGTAATTGTTTCAGCATAACTACATCATTGTAATATACAACTTTGTTTGTAGAACTGTAGTTCTGACTTACCAAAATGTGTGTCATTCCTCTGTGTAGAGACCACTGTTTCCACACAAGGAGCAAGGGTCCTTCTGTGTAGCATCCTTTGCAGGGGTCAGCCCTTTCTACTCAAGCTGTGACCACTTTCTAAAGAATATGAAGGCTTTTCACACCTTTTGTTTTGATGCACCTGTATTATATTTTGCTGATTTAAAGTGAAACATTAATTGGACTTTGATGGACCATTCACACTAGTGTGTTGCTTTATGCAGATTCTGGTACCATTTATTCTGAATGGCACCCCAGTGCACCTTCTGAGTGTACCTATGGTAACTCAGTAATGTGGGGTACAGTATGCTGTACTGGAAAAAGTGGTGCATGCAAGATTTATGGTCTGCTTTGGTGTATTTGGCAGTCCATTCAAACGAACGGGCTATATTATTGCAACGCACATTGACCTACATTATGTGCATGGGCCCAAAATAATAAAGTGTCTGTTTTATGGACTATGCAAACATGAATGGTGGATGCCATTTACATGTGCTATTTTCAACTTATTTCCCTGACCATTTGGAAAGAAGGTGAAGGGATACAAGTACTTTTGACCTTGACTATAAAACATGTTACCTACTGCTGTTTAACCTCCCTGGCGGTAATCCCGAGTGTAGTTCGGGGTTAACTTTCAGTTCCAAAACTACACTTGGGATTACCCTGCAGCGTTGCTCAGGGATTCCCTCTTGCACTTACCTTGTCCTTCACTCCCGCAATTTCCCCCCTGCAGTGTCCCCGGCCATCTCCGGCCGACGCCGGCACCCGTCTTCCGGGTTCTGTTCCCTGCGAATGTTGGGACGTACGGGGGATGGAACCGGCGGGAAATTAAAAAAATTTTAAAAGTGACATTCACTCAATACACTTTAGGTCAAAAGCGGTTTTAGACCAGCTAGAGAACAGTGATAGTAAATTAGAACCACTTGCAGAATTGAGTGATAATGAGTCGTGGGGAAATTCGTCATCAGACACTGAAAACGATTTTGCAACTTTGCTCTTTGAAACGATGTTTCAAATTTCAGTGTTTTTGGTTTGATTACATTATTGAATTACATCTATTATTATTATATTATTATTATTTTTCATGATTATTTATTATATTATAATTTAGTGTTTCAAATTTTATCATACCCGGGATGTTTACTAGACTCTTGTTCGGACAAATTTCAGTGAGTTGTTCCTAAAAATTACAGGCCTAAAAAAAAAAATAAAAAAACTACATATTTCCATGCAAAAAAATGTACCACTTTGAGCACAGAAATATTGACATAATCAGACTGCTAGGGAGGTTAAAAGAGAAGTTCGCGCTTTAAAAAAAACTAAAAAAAACCAGTTGGTCTGATGCTGCATCTGACCCCTGTTGTCACTAAGACTGATTACTGAGCAATCAAAGACTGCTGATCGTTCAGTTCTCGATCTTCAGTGAGCAGAGAGTGGTGACTATCAGTCTTTGGCTCTCCACACTGCCCCCCCAGTGCTCACTGAAGCACCAGGCTGTGAAGGAGGTGGGAGTGGCTGGCTCAGGCTCTCACTGTGCTCTGGTCAGGCATATGGATGGATCCTGACATTAAAGTTATGATTTCTCCAGAGCCTGAGTTGGCTGAATGTTTTGAGCCTACAACGGACTTTAGCCTGCTGTCAGCTCTATACAAGGCACAAGAGTGCAGAATGAAGTACACTCATGTGACCCACAGCAGAAGTAGGGTTAAGCAAGCTTTGATTCTTCTTGTCCTCTAAAACATTATGGCAGCACAGCAGACATACTATGATTTTGATGGTCATTCATTGTGCTACATGTCTGTGTGTTCTCAATATATGGACTAACTCTATGTTCCAGGGCCATTAAGAACCTACAAGCATACAAGTTAATGCACAAGGATGACAGCTTTAAACAAAATATAGGTATTAAATATATTAAATGTGTAATAAATAGCAGTGTTGATGGATTATTGGCAGGAATAAAAGTAGTTCAGAAAATCATGCATCAGCAGTATCATTGTTAAATAATATTGGGGTTATATTTTACATATAAGAAATTACTGAAAAGGTTTTAGAAACTTTTGTTTTAAACAGCTTCTTGTAATCCACTATACTGGCTGGAGGGTAAGGACTGTAAATTAGTCAGGGCCTTCTTTGCTGTAAGTCACATTATGAACATTCCTATTGGAAGGGATGCTGCCTCTTCATTGGCCAATAGGCTGGAGTGGGTCTGCGGAGCAGGCTGCATTGCTTAACTGGGTAGTTGTAGGGAAGTCAAAGCCCTGCTAGGTGTGCCTAAGTGGGGGGGTAAACAGAACTGAAAACTCCCTTGGGAGTTTAACAGTTCACGTATGGTATGTGATGGTAGTCTTTATTTCTAAAGATATGGTTATGTGAATAATGTTCCCAGTGGACAGAGTTTGCTGAAGGTCACAGTTCCATGTGGATGTTTAGGAAAAAGAGCAGTGTATGTTGATCTTACTACACAGGCTTTACTGCCTTTCATGTAGCAGATTTTATTGTTTTGTTATCTGCTAGAATTTTAAAGATTGCACTATATATGGGGTATGAGTCAGTTGCTACACAGGTGGTGCAGTGAAATTTAGCGTAATGAAACATTCCTGTTAGAGGCGGCAAGTTACATGTATCATACCCAGAAACGTTTAAATTGCTCTCCAGTGGAGAAAAGTGCATGGTGTATCGCAGGCAGCATATAGTGAGCTGTTAAAGCTGTTAAATCTTTGGGTAGTAAATGTTGCAATTTATCTGAGGTAATCACAGAGATGTGGTGCTGGGTTAAAAAGAGCTCTACCACCTTCACATCTATTACCCTTTTCTGTTATTTCTTCAGTGCGGGATATATTCTGTGTGTCAAGTACATGCTTTTCTCAGATAATTATGAGTAATGGCTGAATTGTTGTGACATTGTTCTTTTTACATAGGCAATAATAAAGCTGCAGTTGTTATGTGAACCTAGACAAGTTTCATGCCTATATGAATATGCAAATGTTTCTGAAGAAACGGCATTGTAGACTTTGGGACCCCTGTTAAACAATTGTTTCTAGGACTTCTGTGGTTTATATTAAAGTGATATTAAAGTAAGTTATTTATTTTTTAAATAACAAACACATTATTCTTACCTGCTCTGTGCAGTAGTTTTGCACAGAGCAGTCACAATCCTCTTCTTCTCGGGTCCCCCGCTGGTGCTCCTGGCTGAGTGCTTGCTATGGGGGAACCCAAGCGGGTTCGCTCCCGGGCACTCCTCTGTGTGCCTGTTCACACAGATCTGAGGCTCGGTCCTGCCCCCTCTTCGTATTAGCTCACTGACTGTAATTGACAGCAGTGGGAGCCAATGGCTCCATCTGCTGTCTCAGCCAATGAGGAGGATGAGAGTAATGAGGAGGGAAAGTGTTTTTACCTTCATGCATAGAATACATGAAAGTAAAAAACCTTGAGCCTTTAGAACCACTTTAAAGACCAATAAATCAAAATTTCCCCTGGATTACAATAAACACTTTTGCCTTCCTGAATGATGACTACACTGGCCTTAAAGAGTTTTACATCATGGTGACACCTTTTCTTAGGCATTCTCAGTGACATGACCATAGAATGCATGAATGTAAAAAACCTTGAGCCTTTACAACCACTTTAAGGCTAGCCTACATGGTAAAACACAGCATTTTACATGTGCACACTAGGGTCATATTGGCTCCAGCAGGTAGCAGTACAATTCATGTTTCTTTACAATGCCTGGGTGTTTTTTTTTTTGTTAACAGCAGCACGGTTCTTTTCAATGGGAATATCGCATTTCAAGTGTTTGGCTCACAGTGGTGGAGCAGCCCCATTCATTTGAATGGGTTGCATTCGGCAGTGGTACTGCCTTCTTAACACAATGGGGGGGAGGATAATTTTTGCACGGCATGTGAATACCCACATCCAGCTGCCTTTGATGTTTGGGGGGGGCAGAAAAATGCAACTCAACTGCCTGTTTACACTGATCACCCTATGTCCATATATTCTTTATCTAGCTTGTCCCTGTTCATGAAAGGGACAGGCAACTTCTTGTTCTGGATCATAATCTATGCATGCCTTGTGTTGCATCACAAATGGGAGAGTGCCAATGTGATGAAAAACTGCATTGTGTCTTGGAAATTTGCTTTTAACGAATTTCTCCTTACCGTGAGTACTCGCAGTTGGATGCGCAGAAATCCCCCATAAAGCTGTGCGAATCTCGCTTTACCACGACTGCAGCTAAACTACACGATTCCTGCCCATCCAACTGGGTTAGCTTCTGTTGAAATGTGGGGAATTGGAGCTCCGTTACCCTAGAATGATCAGGCGACACTCTCAGGATGATGTTTGAATTCACATAAGGGCTGGCTTCAGACTCAGCCCCCGGTTTTATTACAAGCAGACACATGCCCCCCACATGAATAAAGTCAATCCCCTCCCACCGAACAATGCAATGGGGAGTGCCTATACACAGGATATACATTCCGATTGGAGCATAGCCTTTCCTATTATCTATCACTGGTCCTCCCCCATGAGCCCTCTGAGGTCAGCAGACTTCCTCCCCTTCCCCCCATGAGCCCTCTATGGAGGGCATACTTCCTGTCCTACTAGCTCCTATTGGTATGCAAATTCCTTGTACAAGCATTCCCTAGAAACATCAGTCTGTACCTGGATGGGCCCGATACGATCTTTATTAAAACACATCCATCCGGATACAGTTCAGGTCGGTAATGGGTTGTAAGATATGCATAAGCCTACACGCAGAGTTCGTACCGCTTGGCGCCTAGCGTTACGAAGTCCATGTGGTACTATGCTGCTGATATGTGGATACAGGCCCGCAGCCTGCCGCCGGCAGCATTCGCATCGAATGCCGTGGTGGCATACACGCCGGTCTATAAGCGCAGATCTGCTATCTCATCAATTACTGAGCTGAGTACTGTAATACATACATTGTACATGCGCATGGCCCAATTGCAGCCTTCAGAGCTTTAATTAAGCCACACGAGAGACATATGAATAACACTCATATATGACACATTTAAAGTTCAACCAACAATACAAAATTTCCATGACATTTGTGATCTGCTTCAGATCTAATTGTTAAGTTTCCAACAACTACATAATAACCGTGTTGCACTTCTTTTCCCCACAGTAAAATGTGACCTCAAATAGTCTTCCTAATAACACTGAATTGGTGAAAAATACTATAAATGATGTGCCAAAATCTGTTGAAATAATACAGTGAATCCTTTTTCATAGTCCTTCCAAAAGAACGTTTTCCTTCAATACTACTTATCTTCTTTTTTCATATACAGTGCACCTCCTCCATCAGTAACACCAGCTGTGCCCGCACCTGAGATTTTTGACCTCACAACTAAGTTTGGTCAAAAAATTCTTGTGTTCTCTAGGTGGACATATAGTGATGGTGTAACACCTACTGAAATCCTCCTTCCGTGTTTATTCAACTCCTCCTGGTAACTCCTTCTTTTCCACTCAGCATACATGTAGAAAATACACGCCTAAGGGTAAAACAAATCTTAAAGCCTAAGTAAAATTTTACAACTTTGACATGTGTTAGTAAAACCGTACATATCATCACAACTACTTTGTACATTCAGGTGAATTATACTTGTTTTTTTTTTTCAGAACATATTGTGCTTTCATTTGGTGGTAAATGGTAATGGATATCTCCTGATTTTTTTTTTATTATCAAAGGAAAACTGGGCCAAAATAGTAAAAATAATAATTTTTTTAAATTTAGCTGTGTGTTTTTTGTTACTACCATAACCTACCACCAAAGAACAACCCAAAATAAATTGTCCAGCTCTTGACGATCACAGAAATATTATATATGTGTATGTTATTTGTTGTTTGTACCTGTACTACAGCCCAGAAACAATAGTGCGCATTTTGTTTCTTGTTTTTGTTTTTTTTACCTAAAACACACTGACACTAATTGACACTGATAACAATTTGACCACTTG